GTTCACAATAAGGTTTTCGCAATGAATCAAACTATTTAGTAATAAACCCATTATAAAAAGTGTTTTCGTCAAGTATTACTGATTAATTAGAATGTGATCAGACGCAGTATCGCCAAGTGTCGAACCTCAAATGGTAACAAGCCTAGCCTCCGACGTTCGAATGTAGCCATGTGCCACGGTAAATTAAGACTGTTGGCATCGATCACCCCATTTTTAGTTAACGGAAAACGGATCATGCGCGTTATAACATCTGGAAGCTTGCATTCAGATCGAGCGGCCACTCGGGCGGAATTGGTGTTAATTTCCAGGCACACGGTCAGGCAGCAGGGTTCGATCATCCACAAACCTCAGTGGTGGTCATGTGCACGCGTCAGCAGCACACCTGTGACAATGGCCAGGTTTAGCCGAGCCTCGGTTAGGTCAGATCATAATGGGTTGCATCACGTTAATCCGGCCAGAGGCGCGATGGAGTGCACTTGCGGATAATGGCCGCCAGGTCATAATGGACAAGGTAGGCTCATTTGGCATTGCTTTTAACACCTCACTGTTTTCTTACGTGTCGTAACATCGTCGGGGCGAACACCTCGTTCTTTTCGTCGTCATCGAACCCCGGAACTGAAACACAAAAGGCCATCGTCCCTAAGAGCGTGGCACCTTTGCCACCTGTGTTCCGAAAACACGCTATGATTCAAGCCAGCTGTTGCCTCAGTGACTTTGACCTCAGTAAAGGCGAGTCTCCCCACCTTTTGAATGTGACTACCAAAATCTTGTGGTAAACTCATATACGCTTTTTAAACATAATTTTACCAATTCTTACTTAAACTTTGGTATTGCATCATAGCGAAGTTTAGGCTCAAATTTGCAATATTTATCATGATTATTTGTGGGCAGCACATGGTCTGTCGCTTTCACCGTCATCTAGGATTTGAAAAATCTTAAAACTCCAAACTTGCTAGTAAAACAACGTGTCATATTTACTGGAGGTGTCTGTAACTGTGACTGCTATTTCTCATGGTTAGGGGCTATGCTTCCGGTAGATGTTTTTTTCGAGATGTCTCTAGCGCCATATAGGAAGGTTTCTCAGGCTTGGATGATACAATGCCATGACCTAAAGCTTTCGCAAC